CATAAATATGTAGTAAGGTTGTTTGAAAATCACATCCTTGAATGAACCAGGTAAGTTTGCCGCCTGTGTTTCAACCCTCAGCTGTAAATATAGGCAAAGCATCGGATGCAAGTAGGAGTGGGAATCGTCAGTACAGCCTCCTACTCGCCATGTAGGAAAGTAGATTTAAATAAGCAAGACAAACTTGACGGTGAAGGAAAGTTAGCAGTACTGAACGTGACAACTAGAATATTACCTAGACGAAAGCCCGGTAATACAACTTTCGAATTTTGAACCCGTATCAAACAAAAAGATGAGTACATATTGAGTGGCTGAGTCGAGTTTTCGTAAACTGCCACTTTTGTCACCATTTGTCTCCCGCTCTATACCCGGATTATGATTCAACTTCATTGTGTTGGGACGAATTTTTCGCTTTTTTCAGTTCCAGTACCTCACAGCTAATTTTGATGCTCCCTTAGCGAGATTCTGTGCCTCGCTGGCTGGGTCTAGTGCCCATGCTGGCGTTAAATTTTTCGGCGGCATATTGGCTATGCGCAGTCGTTAAAAATGAAAAATTTTTTTTTCGTTACATTGTGCCTTTTTATTGCAAAAGTTTTGTGTGCTTATGATTAATCAGTGTGCTCATGGTGCATTTCAAAATGAACGCCTGTCATCTGCAACGAATGAACGTTTGAAAATACGTACATCTGCGCTCTTAAAAAGTGATGACTGCATCAAGTGGAGACCGTATGAAGTGTACTCATTTCTGCAGTAGACCGTTGGAGGCGCCTCCCTCCTTTTCCCCTCTTTCCCTCCATCACTTAAAACTACGATTTTGGTCAACGTGAACGAACTGAAAGCTTTTTTTAGAATTTTGGCCTTGTGTATTTTCAAAGACCCTGCTTCTGAAACTTTTTTGCAATTCTTGAGTTGAATTATCCGGACATATAACTGTACGTACATATATACACCCACACACATACAGGACTAACGTATTTTTGCATAACTGTGTTTCGCAAAAATGTATAAAAAATACGAAGCAACACAATCACTTCTGAATTGTCGCCGATTCGCGTCAGCAAACATTTTTCGCACAATCTTGTTTAGCAGACATTTACTGTCAGTGCTTCAAACGAATATTCAGCTCATCCAAATTCCAGCCTCTCTTTGGGAACCTGGTTTTTGTAACCCCATCCCGCATTCCTAAAAAATAGAAGACAGGCGACCTGTGAGTTTGGAAGCCATTTTCGGCGTCATAATGGCACACAAATTCAAATTCGTCTTCCTTTGCATCCCGATTTTTGTGTTTTTATGCAAATCTCCTAACTGCTTCTAATCAATCTTCTGCTTGCATCAGCAGAAGCAAACGGAACTGTCCGATGCATAAAATATGCAAATTTGGCCCCCACTTACTTGACTCAGTTGCTCAGCTTCCGGCGAAGTTCGAGAGCTACATAAGAGCAGGAGCTGCATTTCCGGATTCAGCTTGCAGCTAAGGACGACTGGAAAGAGCTAAACAATAGAACTGCCTTTCAACGAAGCTCCAGCTTCCTTGCTTTTGTGAGATGTTGGACTGTATCATCCAAAGCCAAATCCTGCGTCAGCGAATCAAGCTCAGTTCAAAGCTGCGCTCTCATCCACAGCAAACAAGGAAAAAACGATTTATCAGGGAAATAACAACCTTTGTTTCTTTACGGAAAAAATATTGTACCACAAAGGCATTAAAATACAGATTATTGTATACAGCTACCTCTAAAGCACTGGATAATATGCCCAACACTAGTAAATGAATTCCAAGCCAAGTTCGAAAAAAACCTGGAATCTGATTACTTCACTTTTGGAACATGAAAAAAATTCAAACAGACGCAATTGAACTCTCAATTTGTAATGAGTATGGTGTCACCCGGAAGAATAAATTCCGTGGATCGTTGCTTCACTAGAAAGTAAAATCCCCGAGACTGCTTTGCCTGCCAGAAGGGAACTGTTTGGCCCACGAGCGGAGGATGGTGCTGGCACCTGCTTACGGTAGATGGAAGCGTGCGCTACAACTATTTGCAGGAGAATCCAATTTAACTGACTAGCGTGATCGGTTTGTGTCGGGTGAGGTATCATATCGTATGCGCGACTGATCTGCTCACAGGGTCGATTCTCGACTACGAGATGTTCAAACTTGTCTTGACTGCTTTCACAACGTGCTCGCCTTTTGGCATCGAGAACACCTCAACCGGCTCCGAATACGGCATCGGCACATCCACACCGGTCACACGTTGAATCGGTGAATCCAGGTAATCAAACACCTCCGATTCAGCCATCTGAAAACAGAACAATAGTGTTAAAATACTTTTTTTCAAAAGTACAGTAAAACGTTTTGAAATAGGTCGAATTGACCTGACGGGAAAACAGCATTCATGATAACAAGAAACGGGCTGCAGGCTAAAGAGGATGATATAAACTGAACGAAAAAGGGACCGGAACAACCTAGCGAGTTGGAAATTTCAGTGATCTATGCTAAGTACGCTGGAAGAGAGGAAGGAGTATAATTTAGGTCAAATAGTGTGGAATATTCACAACACATCAATTTTGCTGGCCAATTAGATTTTTATGGCAAACAGCATTTATTAAGCTCACGCGCAACAAATAGCAGTGAAAAGTTGCACGGACTCGCCTGTTACTGGTCCGATCAAAAAAATCGAGTTTTTGCAGCTTGTTTGGAGAATGCACCGAAAATGTAAAAAGTTGTATTTTCACTGAGCGCAGAGTCTAAGACCGCCACGGGCTACATAATTTTGTTCTTCGAAAAAAAAAACTTCCCCTTAATAGCCCATTCCAGCGGGGAACTGTTTCTGCCACTGCTGGCACCAGGGACTGTTTTAGTCATCCAATGGATTGCTACGAAAATCATGCTTATTCTGGCGTGCCTTCACGCTTCTCTAAATTTAAGCTACAAAAACGTCCTTTGAAGAACAGAAAACGAACAACTTCTGCGCATTTTCACAGCAAAAGAAGTGATGCAGGCGCTCTCCTGTGTTTGCCATTACTTGATCATACAATTCAAACCAGTCCACTGAGAGCTGTGCAAAAACAAAAATGCCATTAAAAAAGGCAGTGTGGTACCTGAGCACTGATTTCGGCACCAATGTTACAGAATGGCCAGCCAACCTCGACAGTTACCAAATGATGCGTTTTCTTTACGGAATTCTTGATACAGTCCACATCCATTGGCCGAAGAGTTCGCAGATTTATCAGCTAAAAACTTCACGTTGAATTTTTGCATTTTTATGCATTTTTGCGCGTATGCAAATGAAAATGCACCATATGATACCGGGTCTAATTGAATACGCATCTGTCCAGGTAATTCAACTTCAAGACCACAAAAGCTCGGACGCTAAGACAAGGACCACAAAACCCCGTCCTTTAGCGCAGCCATAAATCTATAAACATCATGCATGTGTGCACTGATTTACAGTTTGAGGCGCAAATTCAGGTTGATTTTATATTACAAGGACAAAGAAAGGTAGAAGCTGGAAATTTTGAAGACTAAATTCTCTGGAAAAGCAAGGCGTAAAGCGAACCGCTGATCGGAGATTCAACTCTGTCAATGGAAAAACCATCCCTCAGAAGCATATTTAAATGACGGTGACTTAATCTCTATTGAGTAAACTGAAAGAAAAACCTCGGCATGAATTCCTTGTTTGGCTAACTCTTCAGTGCCTTGAAAGGCTTGGGTCATCGATTTGCCGTAGGAAACAATTGTCACGTCGTTGCCCGGCACTTCAATTTTTGCCTTTCCAATTGGTATAACGAAATCCGGCGATAGAACTTCCGACGAAACCGGAAATTTATGCCCGTACAAAATTTCGTCTTCCAGCACAACTACTAAAAGCATTTCCTCTACAGAAGTTTTTGACAAAATGCAATAAGTAACACATTTTTCACCAGAATGTGAAATCTTCACCGCTATCGAGACGTAAGCAGAAAAAGAAAGCACCCCTAGAAATCCGCTTGTCCTAAACTTTTTGTATCCATCGTAGTCCAACACAGTTCTTCGGATGTCGCCATCAGTGACAGTTTCACTAGCCTGACAATACTACGAAGCGACCAGCGTGTGCTATCCAAAGTTTTCCTCATTTTCTCAAGGGTACCCCGCACACAAATGCTTCAGACGCTTCCCCTTCTCTTCCGCCACAGCCAGAATTTGTTCGTCAATTAACCACGTCAATGCTTTCAGTACAGCTGTACGAAAGCGAGCACAACAAACCCGCACCGAAACTCTGTGGATGCTGAGTATGTTGTGAGTTTGTGCTAAAGTAAGGCACGTTAAACTCAGTGGGAAAAGCATAAAACGAGTCAGCTCGAGACTCGGAGTACATACATTTGCAAAGGCTACAGGTGCAAAAAAAAAACCTGGGTTATCATCTCGAATAGCGGCCTTTAGCAGGCCCTTCGCATCTTCCGAATTGTAGGGAATCAAAACCTGCAAATTTCCCCAATGCTCATGCCATTTTTAAGGAACGATTACAAGCTTCTTTTACCAGTACAAAAAACGAACAAATTTTGAGAAATAAACGAAAGCCAATGAAAGAGCAAACCTTCAATCCCGGACAAAATGCAAACCAGGATGAGAAATCTTGCGTATGCTGCGCAGCCACACCAGGTGTTGGCCCATTTGGTCCACGAAATACAATTGGTACATTTACCTGACATAGTTTTGGTTACAAAAAAACCGACAGCGTTGTTGATCTGTATATTTAAGTTCATACTGGTCAATTTTAACAAAAATACATTGGTATGTAATGCATTTCAAGGCATATCTTCTGCGCCTTGTAAATAATGTCTCAGTTGCGACAAAAATTAAAATATTTTCTAAAAAAGGACCTGTTTGGCCGAACTTCAAGCAAACTGCTTAATTAGCACGTGGAGAAAAATATATCTACGCATGCAGAAAATGTTTATACGTGAAAAAAAGAAAAAACACTCGCAAAAATTATAAATCACATTTTCCTCTCCAGTTTTTTGCCGTTTTCTCAATGTCCATTTACGGTTCTATTTCCATTGTTTTTT